CGGAGGAAGAAGACGGGAGAGGAGACCCTGCCTCCATCCGCTGAGCCACCCCCCAGGAGAGCCCACCTGCCCCTGCCTCTGGCCCAGGCTTAAGAAGGGAGGAGAGTGTGCTAATTATATAAACCAGGTTCTCTCAACCTCGGCACTGCTGGCATCTTGGACCAGAACGTTTTTGTTGTAGGGGCTGCCCTGTTCAGATGCCAGTGGCATCCTCCTCACACTAGTTGTGACAACTTAAAATGTCTCAAGCCACTGTCAATGTGCCGCGGGCAGGGGTGGGGGCAGCTGAATTGCCCCTGGTTGAGCGCTACTGACTCAAACCAAGGGAAGGAAGCAGGGACTTGGATGGGTCAAGAAGCACGTGGTTCAAGGTGCACAGCCTGGGCTCAGACCCCAGACCTGCTCTCTGGTTGTGTGTCAACAGGCCAGCAGGGTGGCACCAGCTCTCTAACCTGTTTCTGTGTCTATAAATCCAGGGGATGGTGCTTGGTGACCAAAGTGCCACCCAAAAGCAGGTTTCTAGTTGGGTGGGGATTTTATGGTACAAAATTTAGGCAGCAGAGTTGTGTATTTCCAGGATTGTTGAGGCTAAAATGGAAATACGATTTTGTTAACTGAGCATGATCTGGTTAGTGATGGGGACAGGTGACTCAGGAATTGCTGGAAGGCAGGGAAAGCAGTCCAGGAGTGGCATTTGAGACTACTCATGTGTAAGAAAGAATGCTCTCTTTCCTTTGGGGTTGTGAACCCCTAGTGGGTAAATACTCTACCAGGTAAGACCCGCCCGGTGAGGCCCACAGGAGCCAACGTACTGCTGGGCCTCCAGGAACAGGATCTGGCCATGGGGGGCCCCACCAGGGAACTCAACCCACAGCACAGGACCGGAAGAAGTGGCTGTGGGGCCACCTGGGACCCCACCGCAGTCACCTCTCCCTGGCAGGTTCCTCACCATGTCAAACCTCCTGGCTAGCTCCAGGTCATCCTCATTCCGGACCATCTCAAAAAAGTCTAAATGCCTAGATAGGGTGGGAGATAGCACAGACATTAGCATCAGGACACCCTTGGCTGAGGGATACAGCCCCTTCAAGCACCCACCAGCTAAACCTGAAAGCTTCGTTCAGGGAAGGCCAACACCAAACCAAAAACCCCAGCTGTCTGTAGGCAACACCCTGCTCTATAGACTCCCATGCCTTCCCTCAGGGAGGCCAGCTCAGGGCACTACTGACAGTGGGGTTGGACTATCCTTGGTTATGGGAGGCCGACCTGTCAGTTGCAGGAGGTTCAGCAGCATCTTTGACCTCCACCCACTAGATGCCAATAGCAGCCCCCGCCTTGAATTGTGATAACCAAAAATGTCTCCAGGCATTGCCAAATGTTCTGGGGATGGGGGGACGTGTAAAGTTGCTCCCAATCAATCAGGGATTCGTGTTCTACATATACCTTCCCAGTGTTCTCACCCTGCCCCCATGTCAGCCCTCAAGGTCAACCTCTCTCATTTTCTACCCCATTCACTCCCCCACTCCACCCCAAAAGGACCCTTAAGACTCAGTGTGATAAAATAGCCGGTACCAATGGGACAGAACCAGAGGGGTTGCTGATAACATACGGAAATGTGACTGCGCCCTTGATCAACAAGGGTCTTTATGGCCTGTCTTGAGTGGGGCATTTCTGTTGAGCAGGAGTGCAATGTAGGACATTTAGCATTCCTGGTCCCTAATGACCAATACCAGGCAGTCTGAAAACCAAACAGCACCCCCACATGGTTCCAAATGCCCCCCAGGGGGAAGTACTGCCATGGCTGAGGACTGCAGGGTCCACCTGTCTATAACATCAGACACAAGACAGCAGGTCAGCAAAGAGGACAGGCAGGGACATAGGTAAGACACGGGACGAGGCGGTGGGAGCAATGCCCCCGCACACACAGAGCTGGTTCTGCATCGCTGTAGGGTATAGCAGGTGGTCTCCAATGGGAAGAACGGGAAGGGCAGCCTCCATGAAGGTCACGACCATTACCACCAAGGCACTGTCGCCACAGGTCTGCCACGGGGATGGGTGGCTGGGGCCTTACTTGTCCAGGATGGCATTCTCATGCTGCCGGAGCTTGTCGATCACAGGCTGTATCCCCAGCATCAGGAACTCGTACCGCAGATGTAGGCGGAACTCCAGGTTATCCTGGGGGGTCAGCAAGCGAGGACCAGACTCACTGGCTGGCCCGATTTCCGCAAGAGTCCCCAGTGGACCCTCACTGGGCCACCGCAGTCATCGCCCCACCACATCTGCAGCCAACTCAGCTGCAACTGCTTCAAGTCCCAGAGTCCCAAGAAAGGGTGGCAGAGATGGCCTTTGATGTTGGAAATGTACTCCCTTTAGCTCTCCTGTCTCATCCCGAGTCTCCTAGCTTTTGGCATCAAAGAGCAGTGTTGCAGAGTGATACGGAGCACACGCTTTGGAATCAGGCAGATCTTGGTTCAAATCCCTGTTCTGCCACTTTTACTCGTTTTGTGACTTTGGGAAAGCCTTGGTTTCCTCATCTGTAAAATGGGCATGGTATCGCCTATAGAAATGATGTTAGGAAAAATTACCTGATGGGTTATGGTTACCAACTAGTCAGAATCGATGTCAGCCACAAACAGCTAGTACTGACAATGGTGTCGTCAGCATCTTAGGGACAGATTACTCCCCCCAATCTACCTCACCTAACCACCTCACTCAGGTCATCGCTCAGGACTGGATGAAAAAAATAAGCACGCCGGCAGAAAAGAGGGAGAAGTAGAGATTATTAAGCTGACCTCGACTAGGGCATCCGATTACCTTAGAACGTGGGGAGTTCATCTGCTCTTCAAAGTCTTCTTTAATTATTGCTATTTTTATGGTCTAAGAGTCCCATTTTGACCCCAAAAGAAAAAGCCACACCTCCTAACCCCTATCTCTTCAGGGCCCTGGTGCCCTTTTCTAGAAGGTGCTAGAAGAGCATGACTAACCAACCCAGAAACCAGTCCAGCAGCAGATCTTTAGAAAGCTCTAGAAAGAAGGGTCAACCCTTTTCCTCCTCCCGTAATCATCCCACCACCCGAAGCCATCATCAGCCAGCCAAGATCAGGATTTGTCCACGACGCACGTAATGCACGAGGCCACCTATGCGGGAAACTCCCCAGGAGCCCCTCGTGACAGCGAGGTCCGTGACACGCCATCCTGTCCTAGCCCAAGGAAAGGAGGCAAGAGGTGACAGAGATGACCGAAGACGATGGCAGCAGTAGCGGCCGCCCAACCAGAGGCCGTGGCCCTTCCCCCCGCTGCTTCCCGGGGAGACACTCCCACACGCTAGCCCAGGTCCAGAAAGTCAGGGTCAGCAAGGGCAAGGCCAAGGTGCCTCACCTCTCCAGCGCCAGCATTGAGGACCGCGTTGATAAAGGACATGATGGCTGTCTTCAGATTCACCTCGTNTTGGACGGCGGCCGCCCAACCAGAGGCCGTGGCCCTTCCCCCCGCTGCTTCCCGGGGAGACACTCCCACACGCTAGCCCAGGTCCAGAAAGTCAGGGTCAGCAAGGGCAAGGCCAAGGTGCCTCACCTCTCCAGCGCCAGCATTGAGGACCGCGTTGATAAAGGACATGATGGCTGTCTTCAGATTCACCTCGTCCCGGTACCGGCCCAAACTTCGGTCCAGCTCGTTCAGCAGGGTCTGGATGGTAAAGGCGGGACAGGAAGGGCGGGGAGGGCTCAGGATCCTAAAGGTCCAGCCCCCGCGCCTTTGCTCCTGCCGTTCCAGCTACCCAGGATGCCCATCCGTTCTCTCTACCCCATCGATCCCACCGATCTGGGGCCTTCGCCACAGTTCCAAGCAGCATCCTTTCCCTCTCCACACCTCAGTCCCAGTCCTATCTCACTTCCTGCCCCCTCAGCCTCGGGGCTTGGTCTGTTTTGTTGGGCAGTGTTGAAAAACTGCTTCGGCACCTTACAGCTCCCGCACAGCACGGACACTGCCTTTGATCCCTTTTGTATCTTCTGCAAAGGGTCAGGGGCCACCTTTTGCACAGAGTAGGTGCTTAAAAAATGTTTGATGACGGAATAAACAAAGCCTATCCTGCTGGACAAACCACAGAGATCGTAATGACAGTTCACATCTATGGAGACTTACTCTGCGCCAAGACACCAGACTCTCTACCTCATTGGCACTTTTCTGGGGTGAGCCAGGGAGAAGAAAAGTGAACAGCCTGGCCTGAGCTCCCAGGACTGTTCCTGGTGTCCCTGTAGTGGGCACTGGCCCAGCATAGGGCCTAAAATCTGGAGCCGAACAACTGCATTCAATTCAATGATTAATTGAGTCTCCATAATGAGCTGGGTGCTGAGGTCAAAGAGGTAGAGCCACAAAAATGAAGCAAACCAGTATTCCAGCCTCAGGGAGCTCTTGTTCTAGCAAGAAGTCTACTTTCCCAGCGAAACCCATCCCTCCCCAGGCCCCTCTGGGCCCCG